ACGTAAAATATCATAAATTTTTATAAAATGATGGAAAATATTGTTTGCATCTCGAAGCGAAATGCTTTTGCGGTCTCGAATGAATATATTTGTATATGAGCTTCGCAAATCTAACGTAAAATATTTATAAATAGAAATATGTTAATACGTGGTATAAGATCGCGATAGAAGGTCTAAGATCAAAACATGTTGTTATTGCTATCAATTGCGTTGTTTGTTCTCGAAATAGCCTTCTTGTTATAATAAATTGTTGTAAACACAATATGTGTCACATCTCTACCCACCAATTACACAAAATTTTCAGGAAACATTAAGCTGTATTACAATTTTTTTATTTTGTATCAGCATCATACTCCCTTTTATCATTAACATGCCTCACGCCTCATCGCGAGCTGTCACGTTTATTAAACAAATTTAGGGCCGATTTTACACAGCACACTATTCTGAATGGTTAGCCCAAACATTATATTGTACAAGATATCCCGACCAGAACTATCACGCTCTCATTTCACTTAAAGTTCGCAATAGTAAGTCCAAAAAAAAATAAATATGTCCGGCTTATATTAGAAATATATGCTGTACATAAGGGCTAACACGGATTCTTACCCTTGCAAACCAAAAAAAAAGTGAGAGTACTTCTGATTGGGTTATCTTCTAAGGATATGTTGTCCAGACAGAGCACTAAGTTTTCTTATTAAAATATATCAGTACAGTGCTCCCTCTGGTGTCAACAAATGCACAACTCGATGTACAAACTAGTTTTTAAGGCATTTAAAGTGGAGCAAAACTGCAAATCTATTTTTTATCTACCCACATCTCGAATTTAACATGTTACTAATCACCTTCTGCCATGTTTTAGGATCGTTGTACCTGGCAAAGTTGGGTAACCAAACTAGAAATTTTCAGAACCCCCTAGGGAACGCGCCCTCCGTCTTCAGCGAGGAGTACAAAAAGGAGGAGAGCGACCTGGCCGAGAACGACTTCATCAAAGCCCTATGCGCCAAGATCCAGGGCGAGAAACCGGCGGAGTGCCACAAAAACAGTAGCCCACGGCTCGGCGCCCCCCTAGGACTGTCCGTACTGATAGGAATGGTCACTTGTTATACTTACTAGATTTCCTTAGGTAGGAAACTAAGTCCACTGTACCATTTCCCCCCTGGTCCCCCAAAACAAAGGTTGTAGTCAAAGCAGGACGGCGTTCAAAGGGTCGCAGAACGGACACTCGGAGTTGAAATTAACGAAAGGTAAACGGGAAACGTTTTATAAGGTCATCTGGTGTAAAAAAAAACTAACATGGTGCGATTTTCGTTGAATTTTTAATAAAACCGTATCCTCTTAAGTCGCGGATTTTGCGGGTTAAGAGGAACGGGCTTTCTTTAAATTATTTTCTGGGCCCTATCTCCTTAAGCCGCCCAAATCGAGCATTAAGAGGAATGGGCTTTAAATAGAGAGCTTTGAAAAATATTTTTTTTTCTTTTATTTTTAAGATACAGACCGTCACAGATAATTTTTTATAATCAAATTGTGGTCATATCTTTTCCAAAACACAAAGTAAAACAATAAAATGCGGTGCAGTTGGAGATATTAAATAGATGAGAGTTATTATTTTTTGATCATTTGCAAGACGTCGTTATTTATAACATATCTGCACATTTCAATATTTTTCAATGTTTTCTGGAAAAGATGAGTCTAAAATTTAATTTTAAAAAATCATCTTTAACGCTCCGTACCTCAAAAACAAACGACGATAGGTTAATAGCCCACAGGAAAAATAATCGTCTTTATTTTTTATGTTCTATCATCTCCTGAGTTTATGGTCATCTCCCGCGTAAAGTATTCTGTGGGCCTTTGAACAGGCCGCCGCGTCGACATGTTGTTTCGTCATTAAGTCTGTAAATATTAATGTAACAAGAAAATTTTTGATGTGATAGACCATAATCAAAAATTTTCGTCTTGGAAGCATTTTTGAAATTGGCCCATATGTTTATAAATATATAAATGTAGTGAAGAAATGGCGGATCACACCCTAGAATTTCCCAAAGAGTAGATGTGCCCCTTAACAGTACCGGTATTTTGGAGTGATTCGGCGATACAAAACTTTTTTTGTCTAAAAAAACCATTTGATTTACAAATTCAAAATTTGGTGAACGTCCATAAGTCCGTAGTCCGAGAACTATATTTCCATGGCACCTAACAAGGTATTAGACTGAGAGAAAACTATCTTTTCACTAGTTATTGCAAAGCACGCAGAAATAGGACTCTATATACATCAATTCTAACCTCAACATGTTGGTGCTAGCAGTAGGGTGTGATCAGGGCCGTACCGGTAGAATCTATTGTTAAAACAGTGTATTGCTCTTGAGATTACTTATCTGTAAGCCAAAGTGTTACAAATATTATATTTAAAAATATTTACTTCTGGCGCCACGACTTGTCGCGACTTGCCGCGACAGGGCGCGTCGCGGAGGATTGTTGCTCTGTAAATGCCAAAACGGTGACGATTGTTTAATTTTTATACCGCGTACGGGACCGGCGCGCCCATCTAGACAACATCTCTTGGCATATCGGTCGGGGAGGGTACGATTGGTGAGATAACGCGCTTTGTCGTAATTTATCTGGTAAATAATGATGAAAGTATCGGGGAAAAGGGGAAAGGCAAGAAAAACGTGGATGCTGCCTATAGATGAGGAGCTGACAACGCTTCTACTTCAATAATACAGAAATTAGATATATTCATAGCAAATTCAAGAACAGAAAACGCAGGTGATATAAGAAGTAAGCAAATACGTAATTAATGGCAGTAATCTTAAATTTTATGCACTTATATCTATCACTGATCATAAAAATTGTTACTGGCAGAACCCATTGTTTCTAAAATTTTATTTTCATATATATTGAATTTAGACACTCTTATCCGCAAGTTGTCAGCTCTTAAGTTTGTTAGATAGGGAAGAAGAGAGGTTTTCGATGACCTTCATCTGGATTGAGGTTAGGTATCGGGGTATGGCGCCTGCGGTACCCTCTTCGCACACGAGAGGCCGCCACCGACCAATTAAACCTTACTTTCGCTTTTTGATATAAGACTGTTAGAGCTCGGTCCGCGTATCCAAAACGCGGGAATTCGCCGAATTTTCGAAATTAGACGGCGGCCGGCCCCCTACGAGGGTAGAAATTGCAGAACACCTAAATACCTGTAAATATCTTTAAATGTGTGTTCAGTATGTGAGATAAAAGAAAGTTTTTATTGAATAAAACGAATTTGTCCGAAACATCGATTATTTTTATGTCTCTTCCCCTAAACGAAGACAGAATCATGGCGTCCAAATGTCCTTTTACTGATTTAGGTGTTCTTCTGCTAGCCGATTTGTCCTGTCTCTTTCTCTCTCTCTCTCTGATAACTCTAAGTAATACAGAAGTGTCCGACATATACCTGCGTGTAAAAATTTTGGGATTCCTTTCGTAAGTTGACGTATATGTGATACTTTCTATGTAAAAAAAAAATGAATACAATGTGATCTTGCAGTTGTGAAGTAAATTTAGTGTTAAATGAAAATGTTTATTGTTGATTTTGTCCGAGAGATGGATTATTTTGTTAAATGTATTTAATATTTGACTGATGAAAACTGTTTCTCGTTTGATTTGCGATTATTAGGTAGAAAAGATCAATGTTGATACTCCGCTTTTTGTGTAAGTTTACGAATATATAAAATCGACAACCTATAACTACATACCTACCTAATTATTTACCATTATTATTAGTCCTAGGATAGCGTAGAGTAGGAGTTTTATCCTTAACCATAAACATATGGTGTTGATTAGATGTTGATAGTGCAAACTATGATGAGACTTAACAATTTTTATATGTATGTATATAAACTATCTCAGACCTATGTTATGAATAAAAGGCTTTAAAAAGGTTATCTTTTCGTTTGTCGGGTAGTTGTAAGAGTCTGTTGGGAATTATTTTCCTTCAAATAAATCCATTGTTTGACATAACGTTTCATTTTTTGTTACCTAAGGCGTACCGATAGTTTTTGTACAGTAATATATAACTCGTATAATAAAATGTGAATGAACTGTTGAGAGAGCGTTTTAATAAGACCCCACTGAAAAAATCTACAAAACCGGAAGCATTCCCGCAAAGTTGTAAGATCAAGGTCAACAATTTGCTTTTGAAGATAATACATACACTTTATCCCCAGACTCAAAAAGAGCGAGGAATATTAAGTTCAAATAAGTGGTTGTTATTTTCAAGGTCATATGAAAGTCAAACCCCAATCTCGAACTTCTTAGTTTGGTGTCTCATCAAGACAACTAGATGTTGGGAAAACGACCTCTACAAAAGTTGCTTGGATGATACAGTCAAGGTTATTTCAAGGTAAACACTTCTTAATACCGTGGGACGGATGTCACAAGTCCCCTTTCACCATTTCCAACGTATTCTGAGGTAGCAGGATTTGAAACATATGCTGAGAGTACGTAGGTCCAAATTTACGTATAAGAAGTAGAAGAAGATTGCCATTTTTATGTCCTTGAAATCATAGAAACCAGATGTCATGGATACAAAAACCGTCTTAGAGCTGATTCTAGAGATTTCTATCAAAATGACCTTCAAAGTCAGATCCAAGGTCACCAAGTGGTAGTCTCCGATGACCCAAACAACTTTCATAGAAGTCATTTTCCCGATATCTCTCTATCCTGAGGAGAAGCGACGTGAGAAGTTCCAGAGGACGATTTGACCTTCAGATGACCTTGAATGTGAAACAATAACTCAAATGCGAACGTAAAAGTTCCCGATCTCAGAATCCGGGGTTAGAAATTGCTTTATAATAAAAAAAACAAGAGTTGACCTTTAAATAACCTTGAATGTGAACTTAAGAAATAAATCAACCCCCAAGAAATGTATGGATATGGTGATCTAGTCTCGCACATCGATTCTTTTCCCTGTGGAGTTGTTTTTACCACAAATTGTTTTTAAAGGAATTAACGAAACAACAAAATATCTGTTTTCTTTTATTCTTAGCCATAAGAACATCATAGCATATTTACGATTCCGCTAATGAAGGAAGTAATCAAAGCCTTTGCAAGACTCAATGAAAGGAACATAGTGATATCCCACTATATAAAACGATAAAAAAAAAAATTGAACCACAAACCATTCCTAGTGATCCACCTTCCTCATCTTGCACAAATTTTGCAACGGCAACATCGTTATGTCATCCTTGATTTTCACGACCCCCTCGTGAACGTCTATCGAGAGTAGTTCTCCCGTCTGCTCCCTCTCCTCGCCTATTATAACCTAAAAATTCGATATCGTTCGTGAAATCCGCCAATCCCTACGACCCGACTGTTTCCTACCTTAAACTGATCCCCCCTCTGCGGTCTGACGGGATCCAGGTGATCGGACATGATATTGACCACTCTGTCCTCTTCGGGCAGGAAGACGGAGCACATGGCGCCCGAGATGCTCCTGATGATGCCCGTCTGGCCCACCAAGCCCACGTCGTCGTGGCTGTCTCGGATGCGCACCTGAAGCAGTAGATTTTTATAGTCGACTCTGCTCTTTTGCCAAGAAAGAGAACTATTATAAATGTTGACCCGTAACAAATAATTGTGACGGATAACACTTGTTAGTGCTTATTTTGCCGCTAACTATACTCATATCTATCATTTCTATTATTATCTGCGTCGGTAGAGTTATGCAGCACCCTGTATGTTAGTTGGTACATTTGAACTACTGGTCATACCTGTAGTTGATACATTTGAACTAGTTTATGTCGTTTTTCAATCATTTTTGAAGAATATAATTAAAAATATTTCACGTCTTTGTACAACTGGATTATGTACCTTTTCGAAAAATAAAACAAAAAAAATTCATATCTGAATTTGTACAACTGGAAATTATGCACTTATTCATAATTTTGTTTAGACCAATCTGACAATATTTAACAATGCAAATGCAATACTAGGGTAATTCCTGTAGATGGTACATTTGACCTACTTTATATTAATTACTTCCATTTCAACAATTTTTGAAGAATTAAATGAAGAAAATTCGTAACTAAATTTATACAACTGAATTATATACTTTTTCGAGGAATAAAATAAAAAAAAAATTTCACATGAATTTGTACAGCTAGAAATTTATTCACTTTTTCATACTTTGTCACTTCTATCTGATCCGATATTCAACGACAAAGTAAATTCAACACTGCTTGTTTCTGTAGTTGGTACATTTGACCTACTTTATATTAATTAGTTCATTTTCAACAATTTTTGAGGAATTAAATAAAAAAAAAATTCACATTTGTACTACTAGAAATGTATTCCCTTTTTCGTACTTTGTGACTTCAAACTGATCCGATATTCAACGACAAAACAAATGCAACATTTTGCTCGTTTCTGTAGTTGGTACATTTGACCTACTTTATATTAATTAGTTCCTTTTCAACTATTTTTGAGGAATTAAATGGAAAAAATTCGTAACTAAATTTATACAACTGAATTATATACTTTTTCGAGGAATTAAATGCAAAACAAAAAAGTTTCACATATGAATTAGTGCAACTAAAATGTATTAATTTTTTCATATGTTGTGACTTCTAACTGATCCGATATTCAACGATAAAAGAAATACAACACTGTTTGTTTCTGTAGTTGGTACAATTGACCTACTTTATATTAATTAGTTCCTTTTCAACAATTTTTGAGGAATGAAATGAAAAAAATTCGTAACTAAATTTATACAACTGAATTATATACTTTTTCAAGGAATAAAATGGAAAAAAATTTTCACATACGAATTTGTACAACTAGAAATGTTTTCACTTTTTCATACTTTGTGACTTCTAACTGATCCAATATTCAACGGTAAAACAAATGCTCGTTTCTGTAGTTGGTACATTTGAACTACTTTATATTCCATATCAGCAGTTTTTGAGGAATAAAATGGAAAAAACTGACATAATATCAAACGATAACGACTGAAAAGTAACGACTAACAAAAAAAAAAGATCTACCTCGATATCAACGGTATGCCAGTCGGTCATCGGCAACACGTCCAAATTGGCGCCGGGAGTCTGTGGGTTGTACGGCATGTTGGGGCTGTACCCGGAGCTGGGCGTGTTGTACGGGTTATTACTGGAGGGCGACTGCCCATACCCCGTGGCAGGACTAGGCGTTGAAACGACGCTCTGGTACCCAGGACTGGCCTGGTAGGGACTGTAGGTCGTGTCGTACATCGTTCCGGGAGTCTGAGGGGTGTACGGGCCGTTCATCTGGAAACCGGGAGTACCTGAAACGTTCGGAAGCATAAAAATAACACATTTTTTGTACCAAAGTCGAAGTTAACTTACTTGGATTGTAACCGGGCGACGGGTAGGTGTTGGAAACGGCGGGATCCCACTCGGAACTGGCGTTGGGGGTCCTGGAGCCGTCGTGGATGGGCGTCATTGAACCGTAATGCAAAGGAGTACGCGAGCCGGAATCGCACATGGGCGTTTTGTTTCCGGTGTCTCGGTACAGGGGTGTTTGGTTGCCCGCGTACGCCGGGGTCCTTCCGTAACTGGAGGCGCTTCCGTCCTTCGCGGGAGTGCCTGTGGACATAAAAAGGATTAAACAATGTTCCCGACACTTTTACATTACACAAAAAAATTTCTGGGGTTTTGAAATTACTTCTGTTGTAACATAACCTCAAATATAGCGAAAAATTGTATTTACCGGAAACGTACACTGTTATTTAACAATATTAGACGTAATTGCAGGTTGGAATACTTATCGAAGGACACCCAATAAAATACGTACATTATTATTATTAAAGACTTACCAACATCCGCGATATGGTTGCGGTCCACCGATATCGTCTGACACGACGTGTGAAGCTCTATCCTGGCGGTGGACTGCGTGGCGTCCTTCACGATACCAATATTGCCCTTGTACGGGCCTCGGGTGATCTTGATGGTGGTGCCGATGATGTCCCTGTCACGGGCGACCCTTCCCCGGCCTGCCCCGCCCCCTCTTCCTCCACCACCGCCGCCTCCAAAGCCGCCGACAACTGAAAACGAGAAGTTATGACTCCTAAACCCTTGCGTGCGAAATTTTTCATTCTACCTCCACCACCGCCACTGGACGGGTGCATCGGCGACGCCCTCCTGGGCGACATGAACTCCATCCCGGTGGATATGTCGGCGCTGGGGACGGTCTTGTTCCCGCCCGCCAGCTGCAGGTGTTTGGTTTTGCAGACGAAGATGCCGCCGTTTTGCAGGAATTCGACCGAATGCAGAAACGCAAAATTCCTAAAGCATAGAAAAAAGTTACATTCTCTATTTTAATATCCAAAGCATAAATTTTTTATCTTAAATTTTTCGTAATTTACATTTTTCGACGGGTACGGAAGTTAACTATTTTAAGAAAATACTAAGTTTTGGAACTGAGTTAATAATTCAGACAGGAACGACATACTAATGTATATTTAAGAAATTAGACGGGACTTACTAGATGACGTTTGACATGTCATATTTGAGGTTAAGAAATTATATGGGACCTACTAAATGATGTTTGACATAGTTCGTAATTGAGGTTAGGAAATTGGACGGGACCTACTAAATTACATTTGACTATTTTGAAATTGCGATTAGGAAATCGGATAGAAAAAAAAATTAGCTCAGTATATGACAGTTTTTAGGTTCGAATTCTTGATACATGCACCGATTGACGTGAAATTTTAACAGTAGTAGAAAGTAGAAAATTGCTCAAAAAACAAAAGTTACATAGTGCTTTTGCCCAGGGGATGAATGCCACCTCTTTTCCTGAGGGGTGGCAATGAAGGCACCCATTTTAATCGCAAAAATCAATAGAGGGATGAATTCAAAGCAAAAAGTGCTCTATAACGTTTTTTACAAAAATTAATATTTTCCCGAGTTATTTGCCATTGAATATGTTGATTTTTCATCTAAAAGTGCATGTTTTTGAACCATTTTTGATAAATAACTCGAAAACCTTGCATGTTATCGAAAAACCCATATCAAGCAGAAATAAAGCTTTTGAAATAACGAATCGATTCATTTTTTGTTGATTACCGTAGATGTAATAATAACCGAGTTATCACTCTCTAAAGGTGATTGTTTATTTTTCGGAAAGTAAAACCAAACCTTTTACCGTAAAATAATGGCAAAAGAACTAATTTTTCGAAGAAAATGAATATAACCTTTTTTAAAGTGCTTGGAAAAGACCTTTAAAATGCTTTTTGAAAAAATTTCGTAGCTCAAAAACTCGCGGAGTTACGATGGAAAAAATATGATCATCTCATTTTTTCGGAGAACAAATCAACAATAAAATCTATGGCTGAACCATAAAAATAGAAACTAATCGTAATCCATGTACAGTTGACTTTATTTAGGTACTAATAATAGGCTCTGCAATTTTGACCGGTTTAGAATGCCTAAATTTAAAAAAAACTGAAATAATGAAAATATTTTTTTTTAATTTAAAAAAAAAATTACCTTTTTTTCGAAATAACTCAAAAACTAAACAAGATACGTGAAAAATGCAAGAGTTAAAAATTAAAGGTCTTTTTTTATAATATTTTTGCTCTCTTTCAATTTTTCTGTAGAGCAAAAATTAACCAAGACATTACGTTTTTTAGCTTGCATTTGCGTGCAAGGACCACCTTCTTTGAGCCCTTAAAACTTAAAAATCTCGAAAACGAAGAGTTCAAGACCCTTCAACTATAAAGGTTGATTTGTAGCTCTTGCAATTCCCTGCAAATTGCTTTTTGGAGCGATGAAAAATATTAAAAATTAAAAAGTTATTGTGAAAAAACTAATTATATTCAGTGAAAATTGTCAGATCGTGTAAATGTCTTAATTTCCGATAGTTTCCGAGAGACACTAAGCACACATTATGGATACGTAACTTTTGTAAAGGAGGGTGAAATGAGCTTACTAGCCAATTTTCATGAAAATCGGTGCGTGTGTCAATAATTCGGAGGTAATACCCATTTTTACCGTTGTATACTGGACTAACTACTAAATAATACTAAACAGATTTAACAATGCTACAATATTCATTTCTAGTACATTAAATAACGTTACTAACCTGTACAGGTGCTTGATCTCCCCGGAGAACCCGGAATGCGGCCCGTCTATGACCTTCACCATGTCCCTGCGGTGCAGGTTGTTCCTGTACGAATCCAGGGCCGCCGTGTACCTGTTGAGCCTCCTTTTCTGCAAGGAGCCCGGCCGGCACTCCACCACTTTCCCTAAAACAGCAAAAAAAAAATAGCCTCAGGGTCCGGCGTTACGCGTAAAAACGCGAACTAACCGTGCATGTTGAGAACGTGGAAGTTCTCCCTCTCCAATCGTACTATAACGCCGACCGTCTCCGCGTCCAGGTTGACCAGATCGCCCCACTCGAACTTGCCGAGGGAATCCACCCCGCTGGCCATGTCCGTGCAAAGCTGGAGGTCTTTGGGGAGGATCTCCATCTCGTGCATGGTGAGGTCGGAGATCAGCACCACCCTGTTGTTCTCCACCCTCACCACCAGACCGGTGTCGCCCTCGTACCGCCCTGAAAGGTAATATTTATCGATGTGAGTGAAACGATTCGACGAAACGCTGATTTTTTAAACTTTAAATCGCTTGATTTGATGAAAACTCCAAATTAAACCAAATTTAACTACATCCCGGCAAAAATTGGTATCTGTCGTAACATTGCGACACTCACCCGCCAGGACTTTGACGTGATCCCCCATCTTGAAGTACTTCTTCAGCTCGTTAGCTTGAAACACCAGGGCGTCCTTCAAATCCTCGTGCTTGGGCATGATCGTGATCATAGACCCGTCGATACTGATGATTTTACCCTAGAATGACAACGAAACTAATTTCCGTGCAACACTCGCCTTGTCCCGCAACCACCCACCTGCAAATTAATCAATTCTCCCTCGCAAACTTCGACGTTGTCCCCGGCACTGAACGAATGGGTCACGGCCTTGTCCTCCTTCTCCGTGGGCAGCTCGAGGTCGATACCCTCGGGTTGCTCCTCGAAACGTTCCAATTCCGCCAACGTGGGCTTGACGCCGTCGATTATGACGGCGCTGAGCGTGAAATTCTTGTAGAGAAAGCCTTTGCGGGAGTACCTGTTCCCCTCGAAGATGAGGAAGTCACCGTCGGAGGTCACCTCGCCCCCGATCGCCCTGATAGCCTCGGGATCGAACGGTTTGCTGGGCGGGCGACGTTTTTTCTTACGTTTCTCCGCTTCCGACTCCTACGAGAAGACCGCTTTACACGTTTTCCTGTAGAATTTCAGTACTTACCGACTGGGCGGTCCTCAAGGCCCCCCTCAACCTCGTATAGTCGATCCTCGGCAACAGTTTAAGGTGCACCTGGTTCTGCGCCATGTCAAAATAGTCCACCTGAGCGATGTCGTCCTTGTAGAGGCCCCTCTTCAGCCTCACCCACTGCTTCGACTTCAAACCTGAAACAACACCCGTTGGAGGAAAATTTTTCGACCCCCGAACCCGCCACTAACCGGTTTGTTCCTTGACGACGCGCAGCACGTCCGTCATCTCCTTTATCGGCACCATCTGCTGCTTCCAGATGCCCATCCTGAGGTTGCCGACGTTCTCTATGGCGGTCTTCACGTGGGGCTGCTTGTACGCCTCGATGTAGATGTAACCTTTGACGCCCTCGGGCGCCACCACCGATTTGATCTGCAGCGGCTCGGCGGTGTTCTGGTACGCCAGGAACTTCCTCATAAGCAGCAGGCAGGTGGATTTTTCCTCGCCGATGCGACACTTCACCATCCACAGATTCGGGTCTCTGCAACGGCCGGTGTTAGGGTCGTTGGCGAAGGGTTCCGTTAACGTTTAAAACTTACTTGACGCCCGGCAGGAGCGTTTGTTGCGTGATCTCGTCTGACATCTCCTCGCCGCCATCCCCGAAGTGTTTGATGACGGCGCTGTCGTCGGCGTACTTTTTGCGGAGGTACTCCTCTATCTCGTGTTCCTTCTGGGCGCTGCACGAGAAAAACGGTCATTTCTTATTATGTTCGTTGAAAATTAGCTCCTAGAATTATCGCACCGCTAAAAATGGATCTCATTTTTTTCCTGGCTATGTATTAATACAACTTACGATGACAAATTGCTATAATCCTGCCCACACAGCAAAACTTTTTGAAAAACTTACCCTCACCAATATTTGCTATTAATACGAGAATTCCTACAAAATAAATGTGTTACTCCCATATTTAAAACGCATATCCCTTAATTCCTTTTTAATCACCAAAGTATTAACCCCATTACTACTAAGACATATTTTAAATTCGTTACAAATCATAAATTTCACACAAAATAACATTAAAACTGATCAGCGGTAAAATAAAATTGTACTCACTCCCAAAGGTTCGTCCCTCTACGTCTCCCTTCGATCTCCCTAGCCGTAGGTCCAAACTCGTCCACCTCGTTCGCCACGATGCCCATCTCCTGTGCCCCTTCCTCCCACTCGTCTTCATCCTCGACTTCATCGTCCACCTCGGCTTCGTCAATGATAAACCCATACCGATCCTTTTTCCTACGTTTCTTACCCCTTGCGTCGTCACTTTCATCCTCCTCACTGTCGTACTCGTCAGACCTCAAACTTTCACCGTCTGGTTCCTCTTCGTCGGCCACTTCTTCCGCACCAGATGCTTCCCTCGCTTCAGACCTGAAAGCGATATACTATCAAGTATGAATTTGCTTCGGGACTTAGTTTTACTCACCCAGAACGGCTGCCAGATTTAGATCTTGACCTAGATCTGGACTTAGACCTGGATGGAGACCGAGAACGCGATCGAGATGGGGTCCTGGATCTACTCTTTGATGGGGATCTGGATGGGGACCTAGACTGGCTCCTGGCGCTGCCCCTGGAACTCCTGGAGCGCACGGAGCCCGCTTCAGAGGCATTTTCGTTGTCGGAGAAGTTGCTAGCCTCCGAATCCGACATATTTTCGCCTAAAAGTACAGTTACGGTTGTGAATAACTAAGGTTAAAGTATGTCTCGGCAGAACGACTGTGTGAACGCTTTACTTACTTTGTTATTAATTAAAACATGAAGGAGCTTGTTCCACAAACGTTTTATGATGGTAGTGTTCCTTTAATGATGCTTTGTCCTTAAAAAAAATGGAAATTTTATAACGACCTACAACAACAAACGTCCTCAATACAATCCGCCATACTTGAAACTAACTTCATTTATATCACGCATGGGGCAGGATCAGTTCAGTTAAAAAGTTCAGTAGAAGAAGAAGAAGCTTATAAAACAAAAATTAATGTTCACAATTTATATATTTATTCAATATTAAAATATAAGAACATACTCAGGAATATATTATATAGTGTTGGGTGCTTACAATAGTCTTGTAGTCTTGGTACATCAAGATGTTGAATGTGATCTTAAGGTTCAGTTCACTAATATATATGTTCTTAAGGAATGTGGCTAATCAGGAGCAGCCAACATTGCAAACAAAGATGTCGCTAGGTTTCGCGGAATTTTTAAAATTCCTGAAACATCGCCAATTTTCTAAAATAGATTTGAACTTGAACCGTTCTTGTATTATTATGTATATATGTATGCGCATAGTATATGAAAACAACATCGTTTATAATTAAATTACCTCTAGAAGAATTTGCACGAGCTTTTTATAAATTGAAATGGGTAAAGGCAAGGGAGGAAAGGGCGCTGCTGGTGGTGCTCCACCAGCCCCTGCCGCAGACGTAAGAACTCAGCTTTTAAATGAATAAATTTAGCGTTTATTTAATTAATTTCAGAAAAAAACAACTGGTGGTGTTAAAGGAGTCGATCAAAAGGCTGGTAGTAAAGATACAGCTCCAAAAGGAGGGAAAAAAGGTAAATGTTATGTAAATATCGCCTTAAAATATTATAAACTTCTTTTTTAGGTGGAAAAAAGTGAGATAATGATCCGTGTACCTTCGTTTATTCATATTGATAATATAATATAATGCGTATATTTGTGTATTTATAAGAATTGCGAAATATAAATTTTGTTTTGTTCGACTTTTTTTGGCAAGAAATTGTAAATTTAGGAAATATTTAAGTATGATTGTTGGTGTTTTCTGTTATTAGTGTTATTATTACTTCTATTCCTTAATTATTGATTGTTGCCGGTCAGTCGCATGGTAAGTTCAGAAAAACGTCCTTGTGAATCATTTAAGATTAACTCCAGCCACAAATTACAAATTACATCAAATTACTACTTCAACCATGAAAAAAATTGTGTCAGCTGACTTTGTTTACAGATCTGTAATCTGTAATGGTCCTGCATAGTGATTTGATTACCGATAGATTAGTGATTTTGAAATTTGCTGGTGTCGGCACCGTTGCCACCGTTTAGTAATTGTGTACTGTAGGTCAAAATTCAGTTTATATTTTTTTCTCGAGTAGTTTGTTGTCGAGGAGAATAAGATACCTATAATTAAAGTAATGGAAAATTAATCGTAAAAATCCACAAAAGAAGCCTTAAAAAGTGTAACTGAACATGACAGCGTTATTATAACCTAAACAATAACATAACCTTTGCGAACAGAGAAAGTTTCTCCGATTCGAATACGAAAATGCCGATTTCGAGCAGTTTCCACGCTTTCCTGGGAGCCGCAGTTTTAGGAGTCCTAAGCGCTGCCGGCTTGTACCTTGTGGAACACTACAGGCACGAGAAGTGCAGACATGCAATGGCTAGAGACCTGGCTCGTTTGGATCACGAGCTGTCTCAAGTGAAGAAGGAACTAGACCAGCTCCTGACAAAAAAGAAAGAGAAGTAACTTACTTTAAAAGAATTTTGCTATTTATTTTTTTGTTTCATATTTTAGACCACATAAACCTAGGAAAACACGGCAAGTGAGCAAGGCGAATTCTATTCTATCCACCACTACAGACGATTATCTAAGCGGCAGCAACGTGGACAGCTCCGACTTGGAATTTTACGATCTGAGCGATAACGAAGATGTGCCAAATACTAGCAGTACTATCCTAGAAATTGTGAGTTAATCGAAGTTAAAATAGTTGGGAATTCTCCTATGAATTCTAAATTACAGGTTATCTCTGAAATAGACAGGAAGTTAGATGGTGGTACACTGTCGGAATTGGAGAAAACTCTAGAAAAACTGGAAGATCTGTGCGTAGAATACCCGGAAAACCCAGAACTGCTGTGGCGGATAGGCAAAGCGCATCAGAAAATATCCGATAAGAGCGACGACACCGATTTTATACGGGAACACGTCACCAAAGGTAAACCATCTTTTTTTTTGCCCACGAAACGATACCAGTGTTCTTTTTAGGTATCCAGGCATGCGCTACGGCCTTGGACCTCAAATCGGACGATGCTGAGATCCACAAGTGGTACGCCATACTGATCGGCTCAAGGAGCGATTTCGTCTCCTTGCAGGAGAAGATAAGTGACGGGCATTTGTTTAAGAAACATGTCGACGAGGCGATTGCTTTAAATCCTCAGGATCCCGCTCTCCATCACATGCTCGGCAGGTTCGACTACGAAGTCGCGGGACTGAAATGGTAAGTGTTATACGTTTCGAATGTGTTACGATGGGGCTAAAGCGTTTAAAACTGTGACGCAGGTACGAGAGGAAAGTGGCCGCCGCCCTGTTCGCCGAGCCCCCCAACGCCACGTACGCGGAAGCCCTGTCGCACTTCATGAAGGCGGAGAAACTGGCGCATTTCGAATGGAAGGAGAACAAGCTGATGATCGCCAAGTGTAAGATAACGAGCGGGGACTACCAGGAGGCGGTCGAGTGGCTGGAGCGGGCGAACGGTTGCAAGCAAGGCGACGGCTTGGTAAGTTTCTTTGCTAAATTTTATTACAGCGCTGTTTATATTGGGTCCTTTCCAGGATGATAAGGTGGATTCGGAGGTGAAAGTTCTCTTAGAGAAGTACAACAGTTATAGATAGTTATTAATGGGTGTTATTTATTTTTTTATATCGTTTGTTGTCGGTAGTATTGTTGTGTTTGTCGGTTGGCGCGTATACGTCGCTGGGTTACTTTTTATCTATTGTATTCAATTTGATTTTAGCACGTTTTATATATTTAACACATTAATATTTTAAACTAGTTCAAAAATATGAATTCGTTGTGTCCAGATTCTATTTGTTGCGAATTTTGTCCTGAAATTAGCAAACGAAATTTTTTTAACTGTCCAATTTTTTTAACTGCCTCGTAGCTCGTATTTTCCAAACAAATGAATATTTTCTGAATTTTTGCCGTTGGATACATTCCCGATAACACTTGGGACACTGGAGAATACGGTTACGTTTTATTTGTAGAAGTTAGGAAAGACTGATCCTTTAAAAGTTCAAAGCCAAGTGTTTTACGTAATTCGTGACGTCCTTGATTGGCCGGCACTTCATTCCGTAGGATTATTTTTAGAAGCCGGCACCAATTTTTACAATTGTTATGACATGCAATACTTAAATATGTTGCGAGTCAAGGGGAATTTTACATGCTTCTACCGTGAACAAAGTTCGTTAACTGGAATATCGAATGGCCATTAAATAGTGTCTACTCTTCTTGTTTGTTAATATACACACTGTATATTTGTAGATTTAGTCCGAAAATTGTCTTCAGTGCAATATTTGAACAGTTTGTTGAGAAATTCCAGGACCGGTCTTAAAAAATTTAATTAGAAGAGTTTGTATCAAAAAATTCACCCTGTATACGATTTTCTTTTAATGTAACTAGAAATTTTAAAAGTAGACAAATGGGTAATGAATCTAAATCTGCAAATGACCCTGTATATCAATAAAGAAGAAAAGTAGACACTTTTTAATTTTAATGGCTTAATGACTTCACGGTAGAAGTTTGTAAAAGTCCTCATGACTTACCCTGTACATTTAGTTGGTTACTCCATTGGTTAAATTTATTGAAATAATATTGGAAAAATTAATATACATGATTATAATTATAGTAATAATGCAATAATTGTCCAATAAAGGTTATGGTTATCGAAATGTATTTTGATTCCGTTCCTCTCTTGCCTCTTTCTCACCTTGTGTCTTTCTTGCAATTATAAAGGCCTCAATACTTTTTTTGCAGATTTAATTACAAAAAACTAACATTTAATTCTTTGAGATCGAATTAGAAACAGACCTTTCAAAAGGGACTTTCTATTTAGCAACATTTTGTTACATTTAAAAGTTGCTCTTATTTTCAGTTTTCAAAAGTTCTGTCAACAAATAGGTGATATTAATTACCTAATTTTTACAAATCGTACTCCATTTTTGAAGGTTTGATCTTTCAAGGAAGTTTATTTTGCTATTATGTAAATACGGCGTGATTCACAACTTATCCAAAAAAATTTGGGAATAGATGCGGAATGAGATTAGGAGTCAATATCGTAAAAAATTTTTTTGTAAAATCCTTATAGTTTCCGAGAAAAAAATTATTGAAGTTATAGTACATTCAACCACAGAAGCTGGACAACTGTAGTCTTTAGCGTCATTCGCAATACGGCCTCAGCGACTCCGAATACTGAAATCCGATTTTACAATCGTTGTTGCGATAGTGTTTACAATAGTTTTTCAGTAGTTAGTGTCAAAAATGGCTTGCGTGTATAGCAACTCAGAGTTGACGGATATCGTTTTAATTTATGGTGAAGCAATACAAACCAGATTCGCTCTTAATACTTTTATAATGTTTTATTGTAACGTTTGATGGTAATAGTTTTAATAACTAGGTGGATTTCACAGAGTCTAATGACACTTACGAGTGTACGATAATTTTATAAATATAGAAACCTAAATAAAAAATTTAGATAAATTTGGAACAAATAAATTGAAGACGAATTTTTCGAGACAAAACGTCTGAATCTGGTTCAGGCTGAGGCGTACAGTATTGGGGGTCATGAGGGCTTGCAAAATATATAATAAAATTTCCAGGATTGTATGTAAAAAATTAAGTTGATGATAGATTGATTGTGGCATTCGATAGAGGGCAAAAAGGTGCCATGAGAAAGTGCTCTTCTTTTTTCAATATCACCTCGAACAAGGCTGAAATGAGACAAAAACGGATTTCCAAAATTTCGTTTTTTTCTTCAAATATTTCGAAAACTAATGTTGGTCCCCTGATTATGCAACTTTGACCCCATTTAATTTACTTCGTATCTCTTACCATTTCCGAGATCCCTGTAGTGAGAAGCGAATTTGTAACAGCCTGTATGTTTGTGATGATTTCAATTGAAATGTAAAACGTTTACTAGCCAGAAAGTCCAGACAAAAGTTTAATAATCTTTACAATTAAAAAAAAATGCTGTTCGCTGGGTAAGCACATCACTTCAGACGGACTACCGATTTGGCAAATATTTTTTTAAATGGTCGTAATAGTCCCAATAAGATTTTTAAGGGAAGAAAAATTAGAAAAGTTGCCTGGAAAATTGGAAAATCGGGAAAAACAAAGTGCTTTTTTCTACAGGATTTTTGCATGAAGACCATAACTCAGGATTCGAACGATGGATATGTGTATTCCTTTTTTTTTTTTGTTCGTTATGGTCCTGGAAAAGTTTTCACGACAAACGAATTCAGGAAAATTACCAACAAGTCAGAAAATTCTGAAAAAAATGCAAAAATCACAATTTTTGTATACACTCTCGATCATAACTGATGATAGGAAAGACATACTTACTTTGTTTACATATTTCCAATAGTTTTTCACAAATTCACAATCACAAACAAATTTATCGAAATTTGGATAGGACTTTTGGTTTATCCTAATGTGGATTTAAAAAATATTCTTTCATTGCACGCGATTCCTTTCATGTGTTACAAAATTTGACAAATATTTTTAAAGGTTATATCTCACAAAGCAACCTACTACAGTAGGTATAATGTAACGCTTTGTGCCAGTAGGCGTTGAGTAGCATTGACATTTAAGCTACGACATATTCTTTATAGGTTATATTCCACAAAGACATCCGTGCTGGTAGGCACCAGTTCCATGCCAGTAGGCGTTGAATAACGACGATTCAAAATATACATCGCACTCGCACTCAAAACAAGTCGTTGAATAAACATCCAAACAAGTCCATGTGTGTTGATGCTCCTGATGAAAGCTCTTACCTGTTTACTAGATACTGTGGGTGTAATTCCATGCTATTCTGGGCATGTAACCTACGGAGTAACTATTTCAAGCAGTGTCACCAGTTAAACAGATCATTTCGATTTCATAGCACTTATAAATTAGAAGGTCGCTCTCTGCCAGTAGGTGCGATGTAAATACCATGTTTTTAATAAATGGGTTTAATGAGATAAACACTTGTGACCTTGAGGAAGTCGGCCATATTGAAAAAGAGTAGATTCTTCTGTTAAGTGCCGCAAATAAATAATTAAGACAATTGATGACGAATTTAAGATCAGAATTTGATCAAAATAAAAAAACGACCAGTATATAACTTTATAATTGGCTATATGAGAAATATACAATAAAATTATAAGTGTAAATTAATAAATTTGCTTAATATACAGAATGACACAGTTCATTATTAACTGTAGATATAACAATTACATTATTTACAAATTACGTGCACGTAGTTTTAACATGTTCGCCCTCGTCGAGCCCCTCTCGCATAACCGCCTTCCTCCTAACATCACATACTCAACTGCTCTTGCTGCAACAGACAAATCTGATAAAGTCACACGGTATACGGGGAAAAGGGGCGACAAAATAAAAAAATACATTTTATCGCCAACCGAGCCTTGTGTTACCGTAGCGACTTCCGGAAGTAAATATACACTTTATTTTAATTGAAAAATCAAGCGTTTTACCCGACGCAAATATTTATCAACAAAATCAGAAATCGTTTGTTGCTGTCACAGCCGCAACAGTAAAAGTTTTGTTGCGAATTATTTATAGAAAATGACGGGAGAAGACAGTCGGTGCACGCCGCCTGAAATTCGGGAAAAGTCGTTAGAAACGTGTTTCGAAATTCTACCACAAAAGTCAGTCGAAAAATACAATCGCCATTATGACATATTCAAAAAATGGTGCAAGAAACATGGAATTAAAAAATATAGTGAAAATATTTTGGTGGCATATTTCTCCGAGTTATCCTTCTTCAATGTGGTCGTATTATTCCATGATGAAAGCAACCCTTACGGCAAAAAATGACGTTGACATTAGTAGATATAAAAAACTTATGGCTTTTTAAAACAAAAAGGAAGAAATCATATTTGATCAAAAATTAAAAATGATTAGTGTGATCATTTTTTTTTAAAGGGGATAGTTACTGTGGGTCAAAAAAATATATTTTTTTTTGCTTTAATTTAAAGTTTATTTCTTCGAAAATAAATGTATAAAATTTTAAGTCAAAATTCCGAAAATTGAGTGAGTTACAGTCATTTTACTGAGGCAGGTATAAACGCCATAAATCATCAGCGCGCTAGAAACAAACGAAGAATCGTGCGCAAAAAGGCAATAAAATAAAAAACAATGCCAAGAACACCACTGGAGATGTAGAGGAAGAACCATAATATGGCCCAGGACTCGATAGTTTGATGTAAGTATAAACACAGGGTGGGTCATTAGTGTGAGAAAGCAAAATAACCCTTATTATTCATAATACAGGAAAAAAAGTTTATTTAAAAGTTGTGCAGAATCAAAAAACTAAAGGACAAATATTACTTTTTTTAAATGGAACACCCTGTATATTTTTAAACATACGTATTTCTGAGAAAATTCTATATATGACAATATAAACGGTTTAACATTTTAGTGCAGGGTTGCCAAGTTATGTAGAAAATTCTTCGAATTTTGGAAAAAACATGACCTCGAAGAAGTTGCATTAACTTTCAACTACTAACACTTGGACCAAAAATATCTAACAGATTTAGAGGCAAATGTTAGGCAAAGAGTCCTGTATTAGCTAATATCGATATTTTATACAGGGCTTTTTTTATAATAAGATCATTTTAAGAGTTCAAATTTGATTTTCTAAAATTTTTCAAATGGAACACCCTGTACTTTATTGTTCTATTTTATTCACAAATCAGTTCTCTTCAACTTTTATTAAGTATGTTCTTACACCTAAAGTTGAAAGTTTTTAAGATGTAGCAACATTTCTGGAAAAACCTAATTTTTATTATTTTCGGTCGCACGAAATGGCTCTAGAAAAAACTGTCACATTGTGTCAACTTGTCGGTTCATAATTTATCATTCCATTTTGAGTTAATTTTATTAGTTAATATTTATTTGTGGTGTTCCATGAAATAATAAAAATTAAGTTTTTTTGAGAAATGTTGCTACGTCTTAAAAACTAACAATTTTAGATATGGAACATGCTTAATAAAAATTGAAGTAGACAGATCTGTGAATAAAATAGAACAATAAAATACAGGGTGTTCCATTTGAGAAATTTTAGAAAACCAAGTTTAAACTTTCTAAAAATGATAAAAAAGTCCTGTATAAAATATCGATATTAGCTAATGTAGGAGACTTTGTCTAACATTTGCCTATAACTCTGTCTAATTATTTTGTTCCAAGCCTTAATAGTTGAAAGATAATACAACTTCTTCGACGTCATGTTTTTTCAAAAATTTCGAAAAATTCTCTACATAGCTTGGCAACCCCGCACTAAAATGTTAAACTGTTTATATTGCCATATATAGAATTTTCTCGGAAATCCATATGTTTAAAAATATACAGGGTGTTCTATTTAAAAAAAGTAATATTTATCGTGTCCCGTTCTTACTCATCACCCTGTATGTTTCAGATTAATTTTGTAGTTTAGGTTTCCTGATTCTGTACAACTTTTATATAAACTTTTTTTCTGTATTATGAGTAACAAGGGAGTTATTTTACTTTCTCATACTAATGGCCCACCCTGTATATTAGTAAATACATGATTTTACAGTAAGAAAAATAGTACGAAAACTTTAAGCACGTTTTTCTCAAAACAACTTTTTCAAACTGCTCGTATCGATCTCGATTAATTATCAACCGATAAAAAAATTTTTTTTTTGTTTTATTTGTCTTTACAAACGGCTAAGGTTAAGCGTAGCCGATTTTGAAAATTTTGATTATTACTAATTTTTAAGACCGCTTAAATGCAAAAACAGGGACAAAAAAGTGAAAAAAATGTTCAATCGGGCGCCATTTTCTAAAAAATCTAAATAAAAAAAATGGCAGTTTGATTTCTTTTTTTCAGATAACCCTTTTTTGGAAAATTGAAGCGACCACAGAGAGAGATCTTTTTTTAAGGCTTTACGGCAAGGCTCATAACTTTGAAACAACTTAATATTTTTTAATAAAAATTCACATGAACCAAGTTGAATATACACTTAATAAAATAAAAAAACCCCATCCCCACATTCCTTAATTTACCCGGTCAAAAAAATTCACGAAAATCACACACTTTTTCGGCCGTCACAGTGGCTATCCCCCTTAAGAAAAAGCTTAAAAAACTTATTAAATCTTATATGAATTTAGTTTATTCCCAGTTATCCCACTTTTAATTTATTTTCGGTGATTTGACAAAAATTTTTTAGCAATATTTTTTTTTCTAAAATCCGACTACAATAGTGGATTGTGCACACTCATCGTATCTCCACCACTGGTCGACGTCTCTGTATAAAAATCTACCTAATTTCTTCCTTTAATCAATTCACTGGCCCGAGTTTCGTCAATATAAATAAGACATCTTCAGAGAAATTTGAAAACGTGATATTTAAAGTAAAACAACCCGGAAATCGGCAATTGAAACCCCCAAAGTTGCGACACGCGTATAAAACACCCTGTATAAACATCGAAACAAACAAAAAAAAAAAAACTCACCCTGTATCACTCGGCGTTCTCGTTCCCGTTATCGTTCTGGCCGTCCCCCGCCTCCCTCGTCATGTTCTGGATCTGGTTCTCGGGACTGTCCTGGGTGGGCGACGACACCCGCTGGTCGAAGGGATCCGCCACGGCCGCCTTGTCCAGCCCGTCGTTGGACTGCGAGTTGGGGGGCGCCCTCGTGAAGTCCTCCTTGACGGGCGGCTGTTTGGTGGCCCGGTGGTCGTCGTCGTCCGTGGGTTCGTCGTCTGGGTCGTCACGGTCCGTCTGCTGGTACTGCTGCATGGTATTCTGCAGGTTCTGGGTGCCCGCCATGATGGCGGGGCTCTGCAGGTTCGGCTTCCGCAGCTTGTCGCCTTTATTCCGCCAAACGATAAAAAAAACGTAGAAATTCATTTTAAATATCGCCACTCACCTTTCCTCCACAGCGTTATCTCCTGCTGCTTGAAGTATCTCCGGTCCTCCGTGTCCATCAGCACCAGGTTCAGGAAATAGCGAACGGAGAACTTCTTGTTGATGTCCCGCATCGTGGGCGTCAACTCGTACCCCGCCAGGAACACCCGGATCGGTATGCTTTCCCCTAATAAAAAAAAAAATCAGAGACGTGTCGAACAGTAGCCGAGACTTTACCTCTGACCGGTGCGCCGTCCATGATTTCGTACTTGGCGATGGTCACGTTCTCCGTGTAAGTGTTAGGCCCCGAGCCGGTCGTCTCGCGTTTTATTATGGCTATCTCCATGTGTTTGATCTTTATTCGAACCAGTAGGAAATATATCTTACCGACTATTACGTCTTTCAAGTGATATCTGTAAAGCCAAACAACTGTGAGAGAGACGGGCAAAGAATTTCCCCTTGCGCTGCTCGTAAAGCGAGCGACATGCACAATGATAGCCCGAATACCCCGAGTGATAGCTCGCGTGAATGAATCCGGTTAACAGTTATGAAATTTATTTATAAGAAATCCAACATTTATCAATGTCAAAATGGTAACAAAAGGTTATCTCATGCATTACGGGTAAAACTAAAACATTTTTTATCATTTTGAACACCAAGAAAATATAAAACAGCACACGATAATTAAAAATTACAGTAAAAAATTTATATTTTAACTAGAAAAATGGAACCACAAAATTATTTACCTTTTTCAGCACTTTTTTTTATACAAAAATCGTAAACGATTGTAGAAAAATCATTACAAAGAAAACTGGTTCAAAAAAATACCCCAAATAGCGCTCGCCATCACACAAAAACCGCCCAAAACCCGCCAAAACAAAACTACGACAGACAAAAACCGTACTCACTTGGATTTATTATATTCGAACTCAATATGTAGGCAGTCTTCGATGCCGACCTCCATCTTGATGGAGTTGTTCATCTCGGGGTAGCTGGACAGGGTGTGTACGGCTATGTCGATCTCCTTCATGATATCGGCCAGCCTCCGTATGATTGTCACCCTTAGGAAGTATCTGAGACGTACGTTAGCTCCTAAAAAAACGGTAAAATTAAGAAAGAAACACCGGTGCCCAACTTTCATATTTAACCGCCAAAAACGCCCTAGAAAAAGAAATACCTACGTCTCAAGCGGAATTACTCTGGGAAAAGAATAAAAGAAAGTGTCGGAGTCTCCACAGCACAATTAATACTCAAGCTTGTAGACCCACCTGTATAAACTTCGAAAGGCTTCTCCACGCAACTGAACTCAAACGGATAGCTGGTATGCGCTATCATATCACCGGGCCGCGCCAATTCCTTGACGAGAGAGATGAACTCGTGGTGGTTGCCCCTGTCATAGTACATCTCGATCTGACCTATGAACTCTATTTTGATGCCTTGGTGTTCCAACTTACTGCCTGGTTTCTTCAGGCTGATATTCACCTACAACAACAAAACAGTTAGTTGGGCTTGTAGTCGCAAATAACGAATTGCTAACCTTCCCCGAAACAGTCTCTCCATCGTAGTAAAGGAACAGCCTTTCTTTCTTGCCATCTTCCGTCTTGACCTCAGCAGTTTTCCTGGTCTCCTGCCCATCTAGGTACACTTCTATCTCTGCGGACTGGCCGAATCCAAAAAAACTCTACAAAAGCACGGGAAAGTGTGTTAACTGGGTGCCCGAAGGGCGAAAACATAAAAAATAACCTTACACGCGTTTACAAATACGCCTACTTCCCATCTACTTACCATATTATTTTTTTACGGAGGGGTTTCGCACACACAACGAATACGGTGAGGGTAGTAACGGGTGTTCTTGTTGGTTTCTTTAGTTACTTGAGGAACATCAAAGAAAATTCATGGTACATACATATGAATTTTATTTGACAAGGTATGATTAAAATTTACGGTTTAAAATGGCGGCGGTTACATCGAATACGCCACTTCATCGAATCGACCGGTATCAACCGTGAAGTTTAAGATCACGTCCGATGGTGGTGGTCCTTAAAAATTAATTTGTCATAACCGATTTGAGCAAATTACAAAACAATAACAACCACTTTCAGTAAATACCAATTTTTTGATTGACAAGTAACTTACAGAAATCTATTTTTATCGGTCAAAGGCTGACATTTAATCAAATAATTCGAATTAAATACGGGAGATGGCACCAGACTAGGTAAAATAATACCGTTTGTAGCGTTTACCAGAAAAAGAAAAAATATATATTTGCGACCTTTGACCCTGACTACATTTTTTAGCATGCATGGGATTGGTGGGGGCTTTTGATGATGACAATTTACTTATAAGTGTACCTATCAACGACCTGTGCCAATGTTTAGCTCTATGTGGATTATTGTAAACTTACCACTATTTTTTGGTATACTTTGACCAGATTAAATATTCTGTCATTTCAATGTTTCAATTGTAGTAACCTGATTCAAATATTTAAAAAATCCCGCGCGATTTACTTATTCGAATAAGAAATCTGGAGTAGTGTTCAGTGATCTTAGTTCTTACTTCTTAATTGTTCTTAATCTTAGGCTTATAAGGTGCGTTTTGTTGGATCAATCCCAGATTTATTGGATTCTTTAGAATGACATATATCAATACAACGATTCGAATCAAATCTGACATTAAAATTCCGTCTCAAATCACGGAAGCGAAAGTTGCAACCGGATTCAGAATATCCTTGTAATAAAACGCACATTCTGCATAATTCAATTCCGGAATCAATACAACAAAACGCACCTATAGTGAGTTAGGAAAAAAAGAGAGGTTATGTCTTATGTTATGTACGAAAAAGAAGCGTTAAGATTTATGTCTTTATGGAAAAAATAAAGTTTTAAATTAAAATATAGTGTGCCTTCTTGAAACAGCCACCCAGACAGAGCTCCCTACACAAAGGTTTGTCAAATAATTCGAATTAAATACGAAAGATGGCGCGGGACTATTTAAAATTTAAAAACCGAAATTCCTTAGAGATTTAAGCATATAGTATCAATATTTAGGACAAATGTTTTAGGGACTATTATTTTACGAGCATAAACTCAATATTTTGATGTAAATTCTTCGAGCATAATGCTCGAAATGTAAATTATAAAAAATTGCGACTAGTGCCATCTGTTACTAAATGTCGAAATTTGGACTGTACCAATGCGAAAATAATTCTCAATTTTTGAATAATATTCTGTTAATACGAAATGAACAGAACATAGACTAATTCAATTCAAATTTAAATATAATTTACCATAAACCAACACAGATTATCATTATATCATTATTACGGTAATTATTACATTATAATAATGTTCGCATCCATAGATCTTGCATTAAAAAACGATTTGGAAGAATCAGATACCGTGAAAAATGCGAAATGTTCAGTTAATGATCCCACATTAAACGTTCTGGTAATTTTTGCTTTTAAAAAGGAAAAAAAATTACATTGTGCCGCAGACTAGGCGCAACGAATCCTAAAATGGCTAGTTTTTGCACAAAACAACTATTACTTGCAATAGCGACTCTACTATTCCTTGGAAAAAGAACGCAAAGTGCTGCGGTAAGATTACTTTTTTAAATTAAAACACGATTATAAAAAAATATTTTTAGTCACCGAAGTACTTGTTGGACATAGAACGTTTCGAGCCGTGCACCGAATTCAACGACACAGAAAGCCCCCTAGAGAACGTGAAATTTCTCAAGATCAACCGTACCGCCAGAGCATTCTTTTACGACACAACCCTCAAAAGACCTCTGGACGAAAACATCGGGGTAATAACTACGTTCAAACGAAAGTTTATTTTGTCCATGCAAGAAAAAAAACGTAAAACCAATATTGAAATGTTTCAGTTGAAGGCGGAGCTTGAGAAATGGGGGTCGAGGGGTTGGATCCAGGTACCCTTCATGGCGCTGCAGCCCGACGCCTGCAACCTCTTCAGGAAGCTCCTCGGGAAGATGTGGGTGGACCTCGGGGCAGCCATGGGCGCGAAAGAACCCGGGAAATGTCCCTTGCCGGCGGTACTTTTCACAAAATTGTCTTTAGCGCACTTAGAAAACACATTGCACTTGCTGCCACATCATTAAAACATATAAACACAGGGTGTTCTGTTACCAATAGGCCAAAGGTCGATTAACGAAAGTTAATGTCAAAAAATGGTTCGTTTGCGAGATATACGGTGTTTCAATTGAAAAAATGTAAACTATGTATTTTCTGGCATATTTTGGAAACGACTAAAATTCATCAACGCAGAGAAAATTTGATTTTATTTTTTTTGTTTTTTAATTTTTAATTTTCTTTTGTCTTTTTATTGTTCCTTTTGTTTTTTCCATTTTTTTTTTGTATATTGTAATACTTACAGAAAGACTTTCGATTGACATTATATTATTTAGATTTCCATTTTTAAACATAATTTTTTTGTTAAATTTGATTTTTATTTTAAGAAGAACAACTGTTTGAACGCCACAATTTACACTGCTGTTTTTTGCATTTGTCTGCTCTGTTCAGCGTTAAGGTTTTGGATTTTTTCATAAAAATAAGAGAATCAATCGGTGACATTTGAACGGTCGATTAATTAACACCCTGTATATAAAAATTTTACCGTAAATATATATTGAACGACACGAAACATACGCCACTCTAATTAATTAACGTTTTAGGGGCGATACAGCATGAAAAACTTCATGTACGACACTTCGGACCTGGGCTATTTCGCCCCTTTCAAGGGCAAATTCAGGTACAAGGCGATCCTGACGGACATGAAAACGGGGAAAGCGGTGCAGTGCATAACGGTCGTGATAAACGTCACTGACGCTGCCTAGACGAAGCTCCCCGACTATTCGTAGAAGACATGCATGTAAAATTATCAGAAATAAAAAATGTACTTAAACAAACTAGTGTACTTACCTGCGGGAGGTCTCCCGCTGACGTTATTCTGCCTTGGTTAACGTATTTTATCGACAACACACCAGAATTTCAGAACGATGCAATTTAAATCGCATAAACTGTGTTTTTTTTAGTAAATGAGATTCGTTGCTCTTTTTTTAAGCCTTAAGCAATAAAAAAGCTTTTCCGATGGTAAAAAATATACATAACTTTATCAAGGTACGTTTTTATTTCGTATTGCTTGAAAAAAAAGCAATTATTTGCTCTCACAATAACATAATGAGTGCAAAAAATTAATAGACCGGCGGATATTGTCCGTGAATGATATTTGTACATTTGTGGGTAAAAAAATTGCTATATATTAGGACGAGTGGGAGAATTTAAAAATAAAGTACGTCATGCCACGTTATATATTTTTGTTAGCAGTGGTCCTCTTGTTTCACGGGGACGTTCAAAGTAAGGTAAGTCTACAATCGTGTAACTTTTTTGTGTGTCAAAGTGCAAAATACTCACTGCGAGAACAGTTTTCTTACAACATCGACACTTGGGCAATTTTATTGTAGATATATGTTCGAAAAATTGAAAAAACTAAGAAAATTGTCCTGTTTTTGCAGGAGTCCAAGTATTTGGTAAATACAGAGTACATTTGGCAGTGTCCCGAGCCCGAATACGCCAACTTAGAGAGTCCCGTTGAGGACATACAAATATACAAAATCAACAGGACGGTAAAAGCGTTCAGTTTTAGCATAACGCTCAAGAGACCATGGGACGCCGACGTAGGGGTAATTCGAACCAATTCTTTCATAAATTCTATAGATCTGAGCGGATCTGTCGAAATATCCCAGTTCTTGGATGTAAGAGGGGGCAAGCTAATTTTTGCTGGAATACCTTCAGTGCAACTCGCATAATAAAAGTGTAGATCTCTAGATCTGGGCGAGGTCCGGAACATTTTCAAAATTGCAAAAATGTTTAAAAATTTTTAAAAAGTACCTATTTTATCTGAGTTTTTTACTTATATCATGGAATTTATGCATTTTGGAAGAATATTGAAGAGGAAAAAAATTTTAGAATTGAATTTTGCGCAGTATACTGTAAGTTGAAAATGTTTAAATTTATTACCGATGTTGAAAAATAGCAATTGACGAAAAAAAGGCAAAATAATCAAGTTTGTTGGATAATTTTTAAAAAATATTTTAACTGCTCCGAGGGCATTCTAATTTTGGTAAAAAAAACTTTTGAGTATAATAAAACAACACACCAAATTTCATTAAAATCGGTTCGATAGTTTTCGTAAAATAATTTTCTGAAAAAAATTTTGAAAAATTTTTTTCCATTTTTCTAATTGTTGCACAACCTCAAATAAAGCATCTAGATACTTGAAAAAATTTTCACATAGAAAAGACCGCTCAACCTTTCAAATGGTTTTTGAAAAATTGAATTTAGTTGATTAGGACGGCCACAGTAATTTAGTAATAATTACAAATATTTAAATAATTTTTGTTTAAACAAATTAAAAAAAATTTTTTATTTGGTAATTAATTTTTTTGTTAAATACAGATAAAATTAAGAAAAAATAGTATGTACTGTAAAATTATAATTTTTGGAAAAAACTAAATTGCAAATTGATAAATGTAATCCTTTTGTTTAAAAATAAAAAAAAAACTAAAAATTTACTGTGACCGTCCTAATAAACCAATTTCAATTTTTCAAAAACCGTTCGAAAGGTTGAGCGGTCTTTTCTATGTGAAAAAAATTGTCAAGTATTAGATGCTTTATTTGAGGCTATACATTTTGAAAATTTGAAAATTTATTTTCAAAATTTTTTTCAAAAAATTATTTTGCGAAAACTATCGATCCCATTTTAATGAAATTTGGTGTTGTTTTATCATACTCTAAAGTTTTTTTTACCAAAATTAGAATGCCCTTGGAGCAATTAAAATATTTGCCATTTTTTCATCAATTATTGATATTTTTCAATATCGGTAATAAATTTAAACGTTTTTAACTTACAGTATATTGTGCAAAATTCAATTCTAAAACATTTTTTCCTCTTGAATATTGTTCCAAAATGCATAGGTTCCAAGATATAAGTAAAAAACTCGGATAAAATAGGAATTTTTTGAATTTTTTAAACATTTTTGCACATTTGGAAATGTTCCAGACCTCGCCCAGATCTGGGGTCTACACTTTTACTATGCGAGTTGTACTGAAGGTAATCCAAAAAAAATTTGCTTGCCCCCTCTTACATCCAAGAACTGGGATATTTCGACAGATCCGCTCAGATCAAAACAGTCTACTATGAAATTTGTTATAAAAAAGAAATATACAGGGCATAACATTAATTGGCGGTAAATTTTTTGGAGTAATGCTAATTCGTAATTATTTTTGCTCGAACCAAAAAAATAATCGAGAAAAATTAACACACCCTGTGTGGCCGGTATATTTAAACTAACCGAAATCCTTCCAGTTCAAAATGGAACTGGAAATCTGGGCGTACGCCGGATGGACCCGCTTACCGTACATACCTACGCAGCCAGACTTGTGTAAGACGATAAGAATGATGTTCCGCGACTCTACCACAGACATCATTAAGGATTTTGGCAACAGAGAAGAATGCCCCCTACCACCGGTAACTGTATAATACGAAAATATATCCTTTTAACGGTTGGTATGTTTTTTTAAGGGCCGCTATGTCGTTCGGAACCACACCAGCACGCTCTTCGGGAGGAATTTCCCTTTTCCGGGCAGATTTAGGATCAGGACCGTCGTGCTAACAGTCACAACGAAACAACCGATTTTGTGCGCAATGACAATATTAAACGTAGAAGAGAAGCTGTTGGCTTAGCTTAGGCCTTTGAATTCGCAATGAACACTGGGAACAGGAGAGAGAAACTCAATTTCCTTCAATGTATTTGTAAAAATACTAACAATACAATCATTAATAATATTATTAGTCTGAAAAAAATGCAGTTATATACTATATTTATACATGTATATACAGTATTATTCGTTGTTATATTGCAACACACAAAAAAAATGGAATTTTTGAATCGCAAAATGTCCAACAATTTCGTTACGTAACAACCAACAAATCGCTATTAAGACTTTCTTTTTCAAACGAGAACTACGTAAAAAAATATTCTCCTAACAATCAATTTTTCTACCTGCCCTTATCGCATAACAACCGATTATCTTCAAAACAGTAACAGCGAACAAGAGAAATTACATCGTTAAGCTTAAGAAAATAGAAATTCGTTTTTAAGGCAGCGTTATTCAAATACAAGTAACCGTTCCGATCAAAAATTCCATGGAAAATTACACAGACTATAAAATGTACCTAACCTAGGCACCAGGCGTACCAACGCCTCAAAATCACCACCACCAGTAACCGATTTCAAAGGATGCCAGACGCGACGATTTGGTTCACCAACCAAGTACAATAAAAATCATTACCGAGAAATAAAGGGGATTACCGGATCCCGATGAACGGTAATTCTACCGATAAAACCGATTACCGGGTGGGATAAAACGATTACCGGGTAAGGCAAAACCGTTTAGGCGAGGTCGTTGGTAATCCTGGTGTAAAGACTCCCTTCTTTCGGTTAACCTACTAATAAGAGCACTTTGTCGGGGGACGGGGATGGGGATGGCGGATTAAAAACGATGCGGCGTGATAAAAAAATAAATAAAACGATGCGACTTACATTAGTTACGTATAAAAAGCGGAGGCGATGCAAACGGTTGTGGGTCGGGGGTTGTGGGGACGGCGGGTGGATATGTCGGTAGGGGAGAGTGGGGAGGGGCGACCCGAGAACGGGCCGGACTGTAGTCATTTGATGAACACACACAGCTATAATTGCGTAAACTCTAACTACGACACTTGGCTTTTTCGGCGATGCTACTAATTGACCAAAGAGAGAAAAAAAAACAAAACTTGTCCGCATTGTCGTGATCCCGGCAGCGTTTTAGAGAGACAGAGAGACAGACCGTGCGTTTTGGCACAAGGAGGATATAACAGCTTCGCGGCGATCCAGACGGACCTGCTGAGACCAGAAATCATAAAGAGATATAAAACGGAATGAAATAAAAACAGTGGCGCGAATGGGTGCAATCTCCCAAAAGTTATTTTTCAAAAAAAACATCCATCATAAATATAAATTTTTTTTTGTAATCATTGATTCCAGATTGCCGTCATACATTTTTGAACATTCTAAAGCATTATAACCATTAATTTTAGCAACATCACATCTAATAAATGTTTATAACCTTAAAAATTACTATATACACAGACAGAATATAATATTTATTTACATACTGGCACCAAAATGTTGATCGTTTATGGGCAAACTAGCGAAGCCATAGAAACAAAAGCTTTAGCCAAGCTGCATTTTAAAAGTTTTCATTAACGTTAACTTAATCTTTGACTTAGTGTCACTTTTTAGATGACACGTATGTTCACGTCCACAAATACTCCACAAATTCAATTACTTCACGTTCACTTTTACTTCACAACCAAATATTCATTCCGGACGTGAAGTATTTGTGGATGTGAAGGAATGTGAGAACTAAAAAGTAACAATATTCATTCCGGACGTGAAGTATTTGTGGATGTGAAGGAATGTGAGAACTAAAAAGTAACACCATGAAAATTGCACTAGTACGAGCTCAGCTAACCATAGATTCAGGTCAAGTGCAATCATAGTGGCAATAAGAATGAAAGAGTTAATTTTATGTGTCTTTATGTCTTACAGGGTGGTTCTGTTAAACTTATTACAAAGTGTTAAATGACCAGGGTGGTTTAATTTTCCTTATAAATTTAAGGAATTCAATTAAAAAATACTGAAAATTGAATAAGTGGTAATTTTTTAGATCTCATATTTTAATGTCCGCAAATACTTCAAAGACTCAATTACTTCACATCTGCTTTTACTTTACGACCACAAATTCATTCAATACGCGTGAAGCATTCGTGGATGTAAAATGTCACTTTTAGACGTCCTACTTTTTTATGTCCGCAAATATTTTAGAACCATGATCTCATTCTGTCCTATTTTGACGGGTTCAATTACTTTACATCCACTTTCACTTCACGACCATAATCTCATTCTGTCTTATTTTAACGGATGTGAAATATTTGCAGACGTAAAATAATATGATGTCTAAAATGTAACACTTTTCGCCTGGAAATCAGTTTGTGAAACAGCACCTTACGTTAAGGTCCATGGAAAAGTACTTTTCATAAAACCGTACAATATAAACAAACAAAAATAAATTTTTAACACTTAAAAACAAGTTAAAAATTACAAACATTTTATAATGTGATGATTTCGGAGATTAACGGTTGTGAAATCACAAAATCAATTTTTGCAAACCCACTCGACACCACGACATCGTTCAACTCACCTTTTACATATTAGTTTGAGCAGTTCGATGAGATCCGAAGCGTTCCGGAGTTCGTTACACCTCGTCTGAGGCAAGGGTGGGCTGCGCGTTGAGCCCGTCGCCCCCGGAACCGTCCTCGTCGGCGTTTGTGGCCTTGTTCAGCGCCACCTCCGCCTCCAGGGCCCTGATGCGGTTCTCGTGCTTTACGATCATCGCTTTCAGCTTCCTGATCTCGTCGGCGAACTCCTGCAGGGTCTTGTCCTGCAAAACGACACGAAATCGCATCATACAATGTACGATATAATTTTTTCGTTTGACCACGCCGATTATTTAGTAATAAAATAGCGTTTAGGCATCATCAGAACGTAATTAAGTTCCTCATTTCCTTTGTTTGGTAGAAAAAGGTAAATTTGCGACAATTATTTGTTATTAAATAGTGATCATGGGTGCAAAAAATAAAACATGTCGGAAATGCTGTGTGATATATATATGCACATAATTTAATCTCTATTTTGTTAAATATATGTTGCTTTTGAATAAAACTATGATGCATATAAAGATTTTGAAGAAATACAACACCGACCGGCTTTTATTTCTATTAGCGATAACTCTGTTAATTCCCGCGAAAGCGCTTAGGAAGGTAAGAAAAACTCTAGCGCAGACCCCGCGACGTAATCTTTTTTTTTTCAGGGTTACAATACGGTGGCAAACTTGGAATATATCCGGCAATGTCCCGAACCGGAATATGCTAATACCGAATCTTCCGTGACAGATATAAAATTGATTAAAATCAACGGGACCTCGCAATCTCTCAGCTTAAAGATGACCATCAAGAGGCCTTGGGACAGTGATGTCGGGGTAATTTTTTCAGTGTCAAGTTCAAATTTAAATTTAAATTGATTTGTTCGATCATTTTAAAAACCTTTTAGTTCAAAATCGACCTAGACGTTTGGGGGTACGCGGGGTGGACCCACGTTCCGTACATACCCTTACAACGAGACTTCTGTAGGAAATTCGCTAGGTTCTTTCCTGACCTGCGGGACGCAAATATAACAAAACGTATGGTCAACAATTGCCCCATATTACCGGTAAGTACATCCCAGCAAAAAATGAATCGGTATATTTTAAGATCCTCTACAAGTGCCTGCTCTGTATCGGTAGAGTTATGAAACACCCTAGACATCCGGTTTTATGTTTTGTTCAAGGGAGAATACGTGTTGAGGAATTACACCAGTAACAGCTCCATTCGTTTTCCATTCAATGGTAGATTCAGATCGAGATTCATCGTAATGGCAATGGAAACGAAAGAGGTAATTTTATGCCTCTTAACGCTGGTCAATGTACAAGAAGACGTTTGGGCTTAGCATATGATTATTGCAACGTGTCAAAAACTGCATATTAATAAAGCAAAGCACTATTAAGAGTTTTTTTTTAATTTATATTAGCACGGTAAATAATCAGCGTGGTTTGGTTTTCTTTCTCCACGTCCGCTAATACTTCACGCTCTCAATTACTTCACATCCGCTTTTACTTCACAACCACAGATTCATCCCGATTGTAATGGATGTGAAGTATTTGTGCAATGTGACAAAATGGGACACTTCACAAAGAATTACACTAGCCACAGCTCTGTCCACCTGCTTTTCGAGGACAGATTCAGGGCAGAGTATAGGTAAAAAAAAAACATAGAACACACCACAGAAATGAGGCACAAACTGGATATTAATAAAGAAAAGTGTCTGTCAAATGACCGTAAACATTGTCTAAACTAAACGATGTAATAAAAACACTCACCGACACCGGCGAGGCCTGGGTGGTGGGTGACTTGCCCCCCTTGGGCGGCATCTTGTCCAGGACATTACTTCTCTTATGCACGGTCACCGATTTGGATTCCGGCGGTTTGTAGCCGTCCTTGAGGGAGATCAATACAGGTTCGGCGTCCTGGCCCCCAATCCAGTCGTCGGCCGACTGAGCGGCCGTGTCGCCCAGGGTGTCCGGGTACAAGTCTTCCTGGAACAGTTCCGATTTTCTCGGGACGGTCATGGTGATCGCCTGCAAAGACAGGCGTTTTGGTGACGGGCGTTCCTAAGGGGAAAAAACAAGTTACCTGACAGAGTCCGGAGTTGTTCAGCCTGTAGAAGCGGGAGATCTCGCACGAGGTGACGTCGCAACCTCTCTTTGGCATCATACCGATCCCCCGTTGAGGATCGGGGGTTTGGAAGGTGTTGATGTAGTGGACGAACGGGGGCTCCGCCGTTATTTCGAAGTATCTGCCGGAGGAAAAGCGGATGGTAACGGGTCGCGAAAATTCCAAGGATTGATGAGCTTACTCACCTAATAACAGAGTCCCCCTTGCCACACAGGTACACTAGGTTCGTGTCGGGGTCGTACAACGGGAACATGACCCCGTTGGACGTGTCCAGCTCGACCATCACGATGGGCTCCCCCAGGCAGTCAGGAGTGCGCAGGCTGTACTGCCGCTCCGACATCTTGGAGAAACCCGTCGTGAAGACCAAGCCGTGCCTCAGGAATATCGCCCGGGTAGCCTTGGAACCTTGAACAAAACCAATCTAAGTATTTTACGAAGATTATCCCATCCGGGGGATTGCTCACCTTCGTGGCAAACGGCGTCAGTCTCGACTTCTCCCGTCCTGGGGTTGAGAATCCTAATTTTCTTGTCCTTGCAGGTGGTCAGCAGCTTGGACCCATCCCAGTTGAAGCAAGCGCTGTACACGATGTCGGGATGGCAGTCTATCTCCACCAGAGCCTCTCCGGTACCTAAAAAGAGATAGCGGACGAAACGTTCGTCTAGACATCCCCTACGTCGGTTCTAATTTACTAACCCACGTTCCAAATGACCACCTGGTTGTCGCTGCCGGCGGTGAGCAGCACGTTCAAGGCCGTCGGGTGCCAGAGTACCAGCCCCACCCTCCTCTGGTGGTAAACCAGGTCCACTATGGGCTCGGTGAGGGTCTTGTGCAAGCCTCCATCGGGGATGTGCCACACTTTGACCACGCAGTCCTCGGAACCGCTGGCGATGACATTGTCATTGTGCGGGCACCAGGCTATGTCGAGGACGGGACCCTTATGACCCCCCACCAGGGGGTGGTCCGCTGCGATGCGTCCTACCTGTGCAAAAAATTGTAATTGGTTATTTTTTCACAGGAAAAAAAGAAAATTGTAACTTACAACGGACTCGATCTCGATCAATAAAAAAAAAAATTGGCAAGGGAATAAAAGTAAGATGGTTTCCATCGGAAACCAGTTAAAAAATTTGCACACATTTACTTCCTTAAAAAATTATTTAATTCTTAATGTAATCAAAGACGAACACAAGTTTATTTCTTATCTAAAACATGGAGATTTAAGCAGTCTTTATTTTCTTTTTTTTTTGTTGGTAGAAAATTTTGGGAAAGCAGTATTTTTTAAAACATCACTTTATTTTCCTTAATAATAAAGTATCCAACGTTCAAGTTTTTAATAAATGGTATTTGTTACCATCACATCAAAGCACTGCGTTTAGTTTGTGAATCTCAATGTCAATGATCTCTGGCGATGACTTATTAGTTTAGGTGAACACCATAATATCAATACTCCTGATGTGATATGACACTAGATAGAGATTTAGAGACCTATGTGTCAGTAGGTGTCGATTTATAGTAGAGGTAAGTTGATATAAATCGTAAAAGAAACCTAACAAATATTCAGCTTTCATAAAATATCTGCGTTTTTTGATCAAATCTACCAAAAATAAAAAACTACTTCAAATAATTTTGTTAAAATATCTTGACAGTTATCTTAACAATATTTTTTTAAGGAACAAAATTATACTTATGTGATTTTATTCAAACCATTCGTATAATCAGGACATTCAATTTTATAAAATAATTTTTTCAAATAATTTTTTAAGATCATATTTGAATCGAATTTCATTTTTTTCTTTTATGCCTGGAAAAGTGTCACGACCATTCATTGGAATCATTATTTATATACGACGGGACAATTTTATTGGGATATTAACACACTATTTTGAGAAAGCAATAATTCTACTTGTATATTACTGGAATCTTTCCAATTACGATTTTTCTTGTTTTATTTTTATAATGCTGCGATCAGTGGCGGTCCGTGAGGGACCGGCGGGGCTACAAAATACATATTTTGTGCTACAAAAAAGACTCACTATAAAATCTTTAGCGAGTCCTTGTGGATTATTATGCTTTGTAAAAAATCAACAGGCATTAAAATAAAATAAATGTTTAAGATAATTTAAATATGTACCGCTAATTCTGCCGACAATGTGCATTTTAGTATTTTTTTCTTCAATATACAGTGTTTTTATTAAATACAAATTGTATAAAGGATATAGATATACAATTAAAACCTTTGTAAAGAAAATAGAAGTACTGCACTGGCGCAACAAGCAGCTCATTCAACGAATTCCACAATTTGCAGGAACGTATATTTTTAAAACGGCACGCAAAGACTCGACGTGAAACAGAGACTTTATCCACTTAAAATTCCCTGTGAATTGTATTTCAAGCAACGCCTCATTTTTTATGCTGTTTTTAAAAAGTTTTGAGAGCTCACTACTCATTAAACTTTTGTTTATGTTCCAGCTAGTGGCGTTATAAGAAAAAATATATTTTGCCACCATGCCAAAACGAAATTAATAACTTTAATTTGACAAATTAATTTCAGTCGCCTTAAATATTAATAACATCTGATAATAGTATTCCCCTGGTCATTATTTACAAATGCTTAACTAATAATAGCTTCTAGCTATTAAATGTACATTTATTTAGATAAGAACAGTTAATGGTGATTCATACAGTAGCATACAAAAATAATAAACAGTGCCCCATTTCAAAATAGTAGCACAAACTTATCACATTTCTTGCTTTAAAAAATGTGTATCGCAACTTAGTAATTTTTTCCAGATGTGTTTATTGTAAAATTATATAAAGAAACTATAAAAAACTCATCTACAAAATGCAGGAAAGACAGAAAGATAAATGTATTGTTATCAAAATTAGTTTTGTTTCCTTTTTTATAAAGATAATGCATTTATTAATGAATCAGAATATCTATCACACTCAAACATCTAAAAAGAATTATACGATTAGCTCTATTTATTGAAAAATTCAACTGAACTTATTCAATGAGAAACAAATCAATCTTGCTAATAAAAAATTGTGTATGCCCTTGGGGATTGAACTTCAAATCAGAACAATTTGCTCTTAAATTCGACCAGAATAAAATAGTGTCTCGATGCAAAGGCGGGCAAAATAAATCTCCAGTGTGCAGCAAATCTGGCAAGACTTCAAGGCTTAATATAGACAATATCCTTTAAAAATAGTACATTTGAAATCTGCACATCTCCACACGGTCCACGATTTGGAACAAAAAAGAGGAATAAGAAAATTTCGGCACGCAATTAGGCGAGATTTTAAAAATAAACATAAACAAAGGAAGCGTAGAGGCAAGCTCTGTACGCTTCTGTAAATATATTCACATGATAACGATAAAGTTTGTTTGGATTGTCGGTATCACCATAAATCAACTGAAAATATAGATTTCAGTTTACACATTTATCTAGTTTCTTTTATTTGTAGACGGATATAGCGGTGAAATCTCTCTTAAAACCTCCAAATTAACGCTACAAAATGTATTAATATTTATGGAAATCTAAGCAGCAAAATTTGTGATGTATAAAATTTATTCTATTAATAAAGCGGGTTATATTTAGATAATTTGTATTTAATTTAATCTGGGCGCTATAAATATAGACCAAGACTGACTAATGATTAATGCATTTCTTAAAAATAATTGGATTCGCATTACCTAAATTTTATGAATTAAGTGTTTTTTTAAGCAAAGGATTCTCGCTAAAGACATGTTCCACTTTAACCAATAAAAATTATCATCAAGTTACCTTACGTACTGACCCCCTCATCCTACGTAACTTCCATTTGAAACAAAGAACCGATACTCAAAGTCTCCGACGATTCACACAGGTCTTTTCTTACCTTATTGTGCGGTAGGACGATGAAGGCGCCACCCCCAGCGCTCTCGACGATGATAGCCAGGAACTTTGGGTTGACTGCACAGAACGTAGAGTCCCAAGAACTCTTTGACACCCGAATGTTATCGTAGCACTGTTCCCTTTTGAGGGCCTGTCCGTAGACATGTCGGAATTTTGAAGTGCGGACCACGCGGAAAGACATCTGCACAATCAGAGAAACACAGTTTAGGGGCTCGACGTTATAAATAAATAAATTTAAAGCACATAACCTAAAACTTTCATGTTTCTATCGGCGAGAAATGGTACAAACCTTGGCTGCAGCTGGTTGAGGCTATCTAAGGTACGCGTACAACAAATATTTACATTTATATCTTACATAGAAATTAAAATCATAAACTTTTTTACACACACTTCATATCTAGATCACTTTAGTTTTAAGAAATCCCCATATTTGGTTATGCGAAATTTTTGAAACGTCAACCGGCTACAGCGCCCCACATCACAAAATCTCCGAAACTCTCCGCGAACAGAAATCTGTAATTCCTCCGAAATTTTTGTTAGGTTGGTAGCGTATTATCAGCAGGGGAATTTCGAGGAGTGTTCGACGATTTTGGTATGCCAGTTTAGTGAAAAGGTTATGGAGAACGGTTCGCTATGTCAGTTGTTCGATAATAAAGTTGACAAAATGTTGATATTCAGGTGCTTTTAAAACTTTCCGGGAGGACGATCCTATAGAGATTAATCGAAAATGAAAGCTAAACCATCTAAACGGATGGTCGGCATGATCATCAGGTCCAGAAAATCCATAGCGAAGGATGCAATGGTGACCGTAAGTATCTGACATTTCCAGGATTCCATAAAAACATGCATAACAGTTTGAGATTTTCGGGGAAAATATTGTGTGTCAAATTTATACAAATGCTGCAAAGAATAGGTAGAAAACGATAGTAGTTTGATGTGCTCTTATTGTTTGATAATACTTAAAAAGATTTACGGTGCAGAGCCTTGAAAAATGTCTTATATTTTGGATTTCCCATGATCTTTCTTCGTAAATTAATTTCACAATATGTTTGTATCATTTTAAAATAGTAATAAGTATGTGTTGAATGTTTTTGAATTGCAGATGTACATGAGAATTTACACGAAACGATTTGGTAATCAAATATTTGTGACAAACATTGTGATGATCAAATAGAAAACGTTGCATTCCAGACTCGGATAAATTTTTTCTCAATAAATACTTAAATACAACGGATGTACGTGTTAACAAGTAATACCATAGTCTTTTATTATCACTAATCTACGCTACAGCCATAAATAATGTCAACATATTAAAAAGTTTAGTAATAACAGACAAGAATTAGACTGTTAAAGCTACAAAAACAAACATTATGCATAAAAAATCTCGTAGGGCAAACATTAATCATCTGCAGACAAAATTGAAATGCTTAACGAATTGTTAATATCAATATTAGATACCCATTTCGTTAGTATTTAATTCTGTAAGGGTTTTAAAAAATCTTGGCCCTTTCTATATCTAAAATTTCTACCCAAAATTTACGCAAACATAAAAAAAAAATGGTGTTATACCACGAATGTAACATACAATAGCAATTAAAATATAATTATATGACGTGTACTTTACATATTTTCTAGCCTGCCGTTACATACGTATTTTATTAGTACTTAATAAAGATTGCAGAAAAATTTAATATCTGGTCGTAAACCGAGGTAATCTCGCATTTTTGTATTTGAAATATATTAAACGTATTTTTATCGGCATTTTTGTGAAAAAAAATGTGCACTTCAGAAGCCACTTATCCATTTCTGACAGTCATCGACAAAGCAATATCGATAACATTTTAACGGATCAATGTGTCAAGCAATCTGCCATCGCCGAAAAACAATATTTGCGATGATACTTTTGTTTTTAGTAGATCAGCAAACTGGATCGGAGATAAGCGTAATGGTTTAATAGGATGCATCAAATCGCTTTGATCGTCGGGTAAAAGGGACACCTTGCCCCAAAAACTCGTTACAACCGGGCGTTTCGCGAAATAAATTCGTACATCACATCACGCCCGATTCCAGATAGTATTAGAGTCACTGCGATGATAAGATACTAAGATAGGTATTTATATTGGAATTTCTGGTGCGGATTTGTGGAACCGTAAAATTTTTTAGCGTCTCACCGATCTAATATTAGACGAAGTTGGCATGCTGCGCAAAGAAAGACAGGGATAGTTGTTAATTTTCAGTAGCGGTTTCATTCATAATTTCTTCCTTTCGGAGTTCAGATGCCTCAAGTTGGGCGTAACATTTTTATTAAATATTTACTGTAACAAAAACTTTGTTCGATTTCCGATGGTTTCACTTATTATAATAGTCCTTATACTTTCACGAAGTAATAGTAAAATGTCCCAGTTCGATTTGCTTGTTGCAAAGATTCGCTGTGGAATTTTTTTTTTTTTTTTTAATATCGGTATAAGACTTAAAGTGTGTGGTCCGCTTTAGGAAATGTTAACGATAAATCCCGACAATGGCCCAGGACAATCGCATTAATTAATTCGTGATGTACGCCTACACCAAGAAAATTAGCGAAAATAAAACATAAACTCGAAAAAAGTGTTATCCACGAGATTATTGTAAAATTGTCTAAAGGAACATAATACAAGACATCTCTCATCTCGTGAGTCAAAAAACAAATAAGTGAGGAAAACAGAAAAATAGAAAAAATTTTAAACTTTAAATTGTATTATATTGCATTATCTATTATTGAAAATAGTTGTGATTAATATTTTTTTAATTAATTTTGATTATGTTGCAAACATTTTTTTGTATAAAATTAGTAATAAATATAATAAAATAACTTTATATATTAAAATTTCAAGAAGTTAAAATTGTAATTTTATCGACCGCATTGTTTTTATTAATATTTTTTAATTTTGAGAATTTTGCAATAAATTCAAATGCTTTTTATTCTTTTTTAAATCTTTTAACAATAAATAATAATTTGAAAATAATTTTTGAATTTTTACTTTAATTTACATTTAAATCGTAATTATATAACTAACAAAATATTGAAAAAATAAGTTTACTTTGGCTTAATATACATATAAAAAAAATAACTTTTTAGATGCACGATAGTTTCATTTATTTATTTAATAATAGTAAAATAATTCCAAAATTAAAATTTCAATTAATATTTCGTTTAACAATAATTTTTGTGACATTTTTGTAAATTAAAAAAAATTCAGTATAAAAGATGCATTTTTTCTGGGGGTCAGGGCTATTCTACGAATTCGTAAATATGCCCATTATTATTTTTTCGTCGAACTACCCCAGTTTTAAAAAAAGTTAAGTTTCTATGATGAATAGAAGCCGAGATATTGCAAAATTTACAACGCGCATCAATTTGAACTTTGGATTTCACTTTTCCCGCGCGCGCGACTCGCTTGGACGAGCTTCCCCCACCACCACACCGCTGGACAGACAGTTTACTTAGCGAGTACCTTCTCTTTAAAGGGCTCGTGAGTCGTTAATTTTCCACATTTTTTAGTGCAATTCACGGGAAACCGTAGTTTACGTCGTAAACTTTATTTTGCGAAAAATTCAAGTCTTAATAATTATAAACAATTGCGCTACGATTTAAAAAAAAATCTTATCTTGGCTCCTGTTGGTCGTAGAGGGTACTTTTTTATTTTAAAACTGTATTTTTTTGCCAGCTATCCATTGCATCTATTTTCGGTGAGATAGCATAAATAGCAACAATGTTATTCAAATTGTTTATAAGCGAAAAACGCACGGTTTTTTAATGCACAATTTGAGAATGTTAATGTCAAAAAAACGGTGATATTTTTTAATAGGTCGCTTAATTGCGTCTTTAAGATTACAATGACGCTTTCAGAATCATGTTTGATTGAAAATTAACGTCTGTACAGAGGCTTAAAGTTCATAACTTTTGGAGCCTCCGCTATAAACAAATAGAATTGTGCGAAAACTATTGCACCTACAGCGCCCACTTTTGGCACACTTTTAAAGTATGACAAAACCCTCAACTTGTCATAGGTTTTATAAAATTTTAACAATAAATGCGATAGTTATAAACAAATTAAAAAATGGGCACTTTTCTTGTTTTTTTGCAATAACTTTTTTGTTTATTAACCGATTTTAATTTAACAAGTCTCATTTTGTAGATAATTTTACTCCCAGCAAAGTGAAAAAACTGTTTTCCTCGCTTATTTGTTGAAATAGAAAAGTTAGCTAATAAAAGTTTTTGACTCACGAGATGAGAGATGTCTTGTATTGTTTCTTTAGACAATTTTACAATAATCTCGCGTATAGGACTTTTTTCGAGTAAAAATCTTATTCGCTTGGCCTACCCCTCAAAAACCTATAAAATGATACATTTGTTGCTTATAAATATTCAAACCTCGGAAAACTAGTTAAAATTTTCCAAGAATTTTCCCCAATATTCTTTTCTCTAGTTCACTGTTATTATTTAAAAATGAACTGTACATTATTTTGGCTCCAAAACATTAGTTTTGACATAAGTTTGTGCCTTATTTAAAAAGATTACGGGCAAACTATTGCAAAAATAGAAATTTTTCATAGGAGCAATTTTATTGAAAATTTAATTTTCAACTACTTTTATATGAAACTTTTTTTCGAAAAAATACATCTTCATTGAGATATGAGCAGTTTTTGGTAAAAAAAAAAACGTCAAATCGTATATACATACAGGGTGCTTCTTAAAATGTGATTAAAAATGAATTCTCGTATTTGGTGAATTTTAAGGGGTCTTTCCTATAAAGTTTTATCTTTAAAAAGATACAGGGTGTTAACTTCAAAAAATATTTTTAATTTTTTTAAATAATTTAAAAACTAGTAAGTGAAATAATTTGAAATTGGGTACATGTATGTATGTAAACATTGTGCAAAATCTGAGGGCTTTTCCTAAAATGTGCATGCTCCAGTGGCGGAGATACAGGGTATCGGTGGCATATTCTTCTAAATAAAATAGTACGCCACTGCTTTACGGTAACAACCATGCTAATTTGGGATTCGTCTTTCAATTTTCTACAAATTACTATCTTCTTATGTTTTTCGAAAAAAGCCTGATTTTCGAGTAAAACTTAAAAAACGAACTGAGAACACACTTCGATATTTGAAAATAATGCTTTTTAAAATTACATAGTGGGCTGCGATAGCAACATTCTGAGCAGTTAGAAGAAAGAATAAATAATGCTTTTCATCAGATTCAAGCAACAATAAATTTTGAACAAATTACAATTTCGTTACTAAAAGGATGTCGAGCCTATCTTCGTAGACACTTAAAAAATTTCTTGAGGCAAAATTTACTACCGCACTGTATCTAATATTTATAATTTTTGAATTTTTTAAAATTTAATTGTCTCGTTATTTATTTCTATTTTTTGTTCATCAAATTCAAAAAAAAAATTATTAGTTCGTTGATATTTATTTTTTAGAGGTCGCTCGAAAACATAGGTACACTACTTTGAAAGTTAAAATAATTCTGAGTGACCTTTAGAAATTAAAATATCGATTTGAAATTTTCAGAATCGAGATTTTTTTCAACCTAGAAATTGATAAAATAACGAGAAAGAAAATTAAAAAAAAAATAAATATTTGACGATTTTGGAAATTTTTAAAAATCTTGAGCGACCTCTAAAAATTTTCTTTTGAGCTGATTTTTTGAGGGGGCTCTTAAAACATGATAAACTAACATATTTCCACAAGAGAAAAAACGAAAAAAAAGATCGTTTTTTTTGGGTCACCCTACTACTATATCTATATCTCAAAAACTAC